AAACTTTTCCAGAAGACTTCGGCAAAAGTGGACGAAAACGTTGAGCACGTATATTCTAATCAATTAGCCAAATGACATCACAAATGATAGTATAGAAGATATTTTTGATGTCCAAGGTTAATAAATAATTATTGTACAGATTGTCAGAATTAGTTTAAACCCTTCCAGAAGACTTCGGAAAAAGTGGATGGAAACGTTGAGCACGTAGATTCTTATCAGTTGGCCAAATGACGTCACAAATGATGATATCGAAGATATTCTTGATGTCCAAGGTTACTAAAGAATTCTTGTACAGATTGTCAGTTTCAACCCTTTAGGAAGACTTCGGCAAAAGTGGACGAAAACGTTGAGCACGTAGATTCTAATGAGTTGGCCAAATTACATCACAAATGATAGTATCGAAGAGATTCTTGATGTCCAAGGTTACTAAAGAATTCTTCGGCAAAAGTGGACGGAAACGTTGAGAACGTAGATTCTACTCAGTTGGCCAAATGATATCACAAATGATGGTATCGAAGATATTCTTGATGTCCAAGATTAATACAGATTTCTTGTAGAGATTGTCAGTTTTAACCCTTCCAGACGAAGTCAGGTGAGACTTCCGCAATAGAGGTTATTCACATCGTTGTGTAAACTAATTTACGACTTCAGCTGTATAGGGCTACTCAGTAAATCTTGGATGGCTTTTACATCCCAGCCCCTCGTTATGGCCCTAGGGGGGCTTTAATGTTTTCCTTAGTAGCGGCAGGCTCGTAAATATTTCATTTATCAAGGGAAGAAAGGGTGCAGGGCCCCTGCGCCCCCCGCTTTAAGGAAGCGCTGCAGAAGGGACGCTGACCTAGGATAACATCTCCACCATTAGGGGGAGGGTCGAGCCTGAAAAATGATCAGGTTATTAATAGGGATATTGCAAATAACTGATGAACGTTGCCTCCTCGTCTTAGTATAAAGAAGAAAGAAAGGAGTCGAAGAAAGAGTAATGGTAAAGAATCAATACCTTCGTATAACAAAATTCTCACTACATTGTAAGATGAAGTTATTGTATCAAGAGATCATTACCATATACACTCATGGACAAAACTTAAGGAATTGGAAAGGCTTTGATATCGTCTGTTATATGCTGTTTTTTAAGAATAAGAAGAAGTAGGCAGAGACAATTTTGTTCAGACTTAGTTATCTCGTGTGTCTTCAATAAAGGTCACTGTAATATCTTTCAGAGTTATTGTCTGAATCCCGATATACATGGTAAAAGGTACACCTTCCTTAAGTTTTTCCCATGCATGTATACTCTATTATCAAAATATATATTATTAAAGGTATAAAGTTTTGATTGTGTCACATTATTTTATTTCTTTCAAAAGAAAAAAGCTTACGTAAATATTTACCTGTATATAAACATTATCTTTCAGTTTCTTGAAGAGTTGCCTGTCGAAGGACGTAACGAAAGTTTGCCGAATTTACAACTGTAATAAAAGAAACTCGTCCCCGTTAACTTTTGTTCCTTCTTCAACTGACATTATACCTTCAATTCGGTATCAAATTATTCTAAAGTTTTCTTTAATCATAGAAGAATGCCTGTACTACGAACGAATCTAGAGAACGAGGCTTCACTTTATAAGGATGAATTTTATTATCATTATTATTTATCATCATCAATACACACACAAAAGCCTTTATTAGGGACTTGCCCCATACATATTCTCCCAATTAGGTAAGGTAATAATAATCTTGTGTTATTTACATAGAAATTGAACTGGCTTTACTCTTCATCTCAAAGTCATTCACTTGTTGACTGGTCCTTACATAATGATGATCTAAAAAAATTATAATAAGCTATTGCATTAGATTTGTTTCCGGTTCCAAAATCACTTTATTAGGTACCGCTCAACAAGAGCAACCTAGTTTATGATAATTGAAACAATGAATAATATGTGAGTTATTCACATATTAAACAAAAGGTTAACGCTGGATACAATCCCGGCTCATCGGGAAACGAGGGTGTTACAACTCGTCCACCGACTTTTATTTAGATTTGTTTGCTGATATTTTTATCATCATCAATGTAAGATCAAACATAACGACCGCTGTGCCTCAGTTGAATACTTTTTTTATATATATTTGTACAAGATTTATACTTAGAGAGAGAGAGCTTGACACTTTTTCCTCACAACAACATTTTACAATTAAGCCAAGAGTATACATTTACAGCTTTTTCTTGCCGCTAAAATGTCCTTTTTGATTTACAGAGCGAAATATTTTAAGACTAAATGGAATTTTAGGACAATTCCCATGAGTTCCTTTCCATTTGGAATGGAGACAAAGTAATTTGGGAGTCCCATAATTTTATTAAGGAATGACATTTCCTAAGAGCACTATCCATAGAGGAGCTCTCACAAATTAATTACACCATATTGAACTTTATTAGATTCTATATTTAGCTGGGGCAGTGCCTAATTGGGAAATAAATGGAGACAAGAAAAAATGGTTAATGGTGGGTAAACATGATTAGGTCCAGATAATGATGCCCTAGGCCACCCCTGTGACCAGCTTTGATTTGGGTTAATTGTATCGTCTGCAAACTATTCTTCTAAGCCTTTTTTTTAACCAAAAAGTCTTAAAAAGTTTCTTTGAGTTCGAAAAATTAAAGAGAAAAAAAAGTTTATGGTTGCTCTCTAAGAATCTTTTCAAAACTATTAGAAAGTTTTTCGTTCTTTTTTTTTTTAATTTCAGAATTTAATTGAGGTTGTTTTTTTTTTTCTTTGTATATGTATGGAGAAATATATTTATTCTATGATTTTTTAAAAAGTTGCCAAATAGTTTTTTTTTTTTATGATGAAGTTGTTTTTGAAAGTGAGATGGACGTTTTTAATTGGATCTCTTCGCACAAAAAAAAATATTTCAATAAAAAAAAAGGTAATCTGATATGAATTCATAATCAGCTTTGAATCTATATATTTTTTAGATTATATGTAATTCTTTTAAACTTCAATTTATAGCATATTTATAGAGTATGTTTTTAAACTTTTATATATAGAGAGTTTTAAATGAACATTTAAACATTTTCTTTAAATCATTCGAAACATTTAAAAAAGTTTTTCACTTATATATACACCTTCTGTCAACTTTAATCTACAATACAAATCGGTATTTGACTGATAAATTGATACATATATATGTTATGAATTAATTTGTTGTTGTTGTTAGATAAAGGGTTGATAAGACAAAGGATCGATAAGATAAAGGGTTGAGGTGCAGTCGTGATAAGAAAAAGATAATTATTTACCGTCAAGTAGTTTTTATTTTCAACTAGCGGACGTACCCGGCTTCGCCCGAGGTTTTACCCGAGTAAAGGTTTGTCTAGCGAACATTTGTTAAAACAATTCTCTAAAAACTTATTTAAAAAAAAGATATATTTTGATAATTTGAAACTCGTAAATTTGAATCTCTCGATAAAGTGAACATTTTTTCCCGGTCCCTGTGTGCCGTGTCATCCTGAATTTTGTCTTTCCTAATTTTCTACATTAGAAAATCATAGTTTTATCTAGTAAACATTTTTTCCCGGTCCCTTGAAAAATACTCGATAAGTTGAATAAAATCAATATTAATTGGTTCCCTCGGTAATTGGAAGTTAAAGGAATAGTATCTTCGCCTTGGAATTGTATCATTATTCTTGTCTCAAATGAATTGCCGTGTCATCCTGAGATAATCTTACTTTTGATAAATAATATTTAAGATAACAAACTTAGTGATAAGAAAACTTGTTAACATCGTCACAATGGGGGCGCTGCTTGCGAGTTAAATCTACAAATCTGCAAATAACTCTAAGGATATTCATGAAATTATTTTTCAAAAACCTTCCCGGTGATATACCTAATAATATCCCAAAATTTCACGGCGATTGGATGTATGGTTTTTGAATCTATAGAGTACAGACAGACAGACATTCAATTTTATATATATAGATTACTTGAGGAAATATTACACATTAGTTATTTTCACATTATATAGAATTTATAAAGTTAATCCTATATTAGTGATTTAAAAGGATAGATATGTTAACTACGCATATTTACAACAAAACTATACAACAAAACTGAAAGTCTTTCTAAAAACGATGATAACAAAAGTAAAATTATCAATGAATAAAAATAAAAAAATATATTTTTTAAAATATAGAAATATTTGAGTTTTAGATTATATAAAATTACATAATTGTTTTAAAAAAAATAAAACAGAAGAAAATTCTCAAGATGACATTAAGCAAATTCCAAACAGACGATAGTTTGTAATTATTTCGTTCGATATTGGAGAGAGAGAGCGCGCCAATTTTAATTAGGGTTAAAGCCAAGCGTCACAGATCAATAGAAAGTTAAAAGGTCGTTTGCTTAAGATTATTAAACCCAGATTCTAACCCGAAAAATGAAGAAATTGCATAAATTAATGATTTTTAAGATAAACCAATAGTTTGTTATTGACTTTGATTAAATATTTAGATAAAAATCATCAACATATCGCTATTCTCACCTTTTTTTTTTTTTTTTTCTTTTAATAATTAAGAAAATTCGTCTGCAAAATTATTCAATGGTGATGATAATATCGAATAATACTTTGTTAACCTATATTTTGAATTCGTTTATTAGGATAGTGGGGTTCTCCTTAACCTTTTTTCTTTTTTCACCATTGATTCACTTCAAAGGTAAATAGATATTTTACGCCCTATAATAGAATGGCTCTGATAAGAATTTTTAGGCTTAATTTCAACCAGACGTGTCTTCTTCTTCTTTCTTATCTCAAAGCAATGATAATCATGGTGGGGTAGTTAGCGACTGCTTTTACTGTAAGCGCACCACATGTCTACACATGTGAAAAGCAGTTCGACTTTGCACTTACACATGTGCCAGAGCCCCGTTTGGTTACTTGCACTCGCTGGAGGGGTTGGACTTTTGCAAGAATCGGGGGCCATTGGAGCATTTTTTTTTTTTTTTAACAGAAAAAAAAAGTGTCCAATGCGGGAATCGAACCCGGGTCGTAGTGGTCGAAAACCAAACGTTTTAACAAACCTTCCACCAAACCCACCAGACGTGTTATAGTTGGAAATGCAGTTTCTGAAATGTGTGTAGTTTCCAAGAATTATTAATTATCAGAAGAATGTCCCTCAAACGAACGGGGATATAAAATGAAAGAGCCAGTTTATATGCAATAACATGTATATCAGGATTCAGACAATAACTCTGAAAGATATTACAGTGACCTTTATTGAAGACACACGATATAACCATGTGTAAGCAAATTGCCTTAGTCTCCTTAAAAAAATAATAATAAATAAATAAAACAGACGACCTTCGACTTCCTTAAATTTTGTCCATGAGTGTAAGTATTTTTAGATTTAAAATTATAAAAGAAAGTGCAATGTTTCCACAGATAAGACTTGAAAATAGAATATATTTTTTAATGCCAAGAAACAAACAAAGTTAAAACAATTCCATATTAGAAAAATAATCAACAGCTAAAAACACAAACACTATATATATACATATATACACAATTATCATCATCAACTCTGTGACAACAAATAAATAAAAACAAATATTAAATTAATTCGCCAATACATCACAGCATCTTCCTCCTACAAGCCTTGATATCGCACAGGAGGTCTCCGATCCCTTGGAGGGTTTCTTCTTGGCAGTGGCCTCTCCTCCGTCCGGGCTTCTTTGTCTGAGGAACACGCGGATTCCCTTGGGCTGCTTCCAATCTCCACACCTTGGTCCCCGGACACTGGATCCTGCGGCAATCCGACGAAATTTCCGACGAAAACGATTCTCTGTCCCTCCGGCTGTTCATACTCTCAGGAGCCATCCATATTGGGTCATCTTCCTCCTCTCTTTTCTCTCTGGCCTCATCTCCCTCTTCACCACTAGTCCATCTTCTCCTTATCTGATCTCGGTGGTAGGTCTTCACCTGTCCATTTATCAAAACTGTATAGACTCTGCTCCCCTTTCTGCCCACTATTCTTCCTGGAATCCATCCGACACCTCTAAAATTCTTACACCACACCTTATCGTCCACCTCGAACTCCTCTTGGCCTCTTCCTCGATCATACCTCATCTGCCTGGCCTGTCGTTCTCTCACCCTATTGTCCAGGCTCTGGTGTATCAATGTCAGTCTGGTCCGCAGAGACGACCCATAAACAGCTCTGATGGGGTCTTCTCAGTTGTCTCATGCGGCGTGCATCGATACGTGAGGAGAATTCTTGATAGTGTATCTTGAATGGTATCTTCAAACTTCCTTTTATTTTTTTCCAAGGCCATCTTTATCAATTGAACCGCTCTTTCCGCTAAACCATTACTCTGTGGATGGTATGCTGGAATCAGAGTTTGTCTGACTCCATTTTCTCTCAAAAAAACTCTTCATCTCTACCCCTGTAAACTGTGGGCCATTATCCGACACCACTTCCTCTGGTAACCCATACGCTGAAAACAATCTTCTTAACTGCTCAATCGTCTTTCTTGCGGTTATCTCTCTCATCGGGATCGCCTCGACCCATTTTGAGTGGCTATCCAACACAATTAACAAATTCACTCCATCTTTAAATGCAAAATCCATATGGATCCGTTGCCAGGGCCTGGTTGCCCACACCCACGGTCTCCAGTTTACTTTACTTGGGCCTGTCTGAGTTTGCTGGCAATTTTTACACCCCATTTACCATGCATTCAATCTGGTTGTCAAGATTCGGCCACCAAAAATGCGACCTAGCAACCGCCTTCATTTTGCCCATCCCCGAATGGGTCTCGTGTAGACAACTCAACATATTTTTCCTAAGAGAAGACGGGATGATCACTCGTATTCCCCACAATAAGCATTCCCCGTCCATAGTTAACTCCAACTTTCTCTGAAAGTAGGGTCTGAGGTATTCCCCAACTCTTTCAGGCCAGCCTTGCTGCGTATAGCGCTTCACCACTGACAATACTTCATCTTTTTTAGTTTCCACACCTATTTCTGTTGCTGTAACCGGCAAATCTTCCACGTATGATAATATGAACGTTTGATTCAAAACCGGTGTTTCGTCACTCTCTACTGGCAACCGTGAGAGAAGGTCTGCGTTTCCATGATCTTGAGTTCTTCGGAATTTAATTTCATATGTATAAGCCGCCAAAGTCAGTCCCCATCTCTGCAATCTTGAAGTAGACAAAGTGGGAATCCCTGCTCTCGGCCCCAAAATAGACACCAGGAGTTTATGATCTGTAATCAGGGTAAATTGTCTTCCATAGATAAACTGGTGGAACTTAGTCACACCATATATTATTGCTAGAGCTTCTCTTTCTATTTGTGAATAATTACGTTCGGCCCCGGAAAGTGTTCGTGAGGCAAACATGATTGGTTTCTCTTGGCCCTCGATAACATGGGACAGCACCGCCCCCACTCCAATCTGAGATGCGTCCGTGGCCAAAGATAAAGGTAACGTGGCATCATATGGCACCAACACTTTCTCGGAGGTAATTCTCCTTTTACACTCCGAGATCGCCTCCTCACACTCCCCTGTCCACTTCCAATAACTATTCTTTTTCAGCAGCTTGTGAAGTAGCTCCAACAGCTCTGGCAAATTCGGTATAAACTTTCCATAATAGTTCACTAATCCCAGAAAAGATCTCAATTCCGAGACATTTGTCGGGCTTTTGGCTTTCTGTAGCCCTTGTATCTTGTCCTCTAAAGGCCGAATACCATCTTCTTTGATGAGATGTCCCAAATACTGCATTTCTCTTCGCAGAAATTCACATTTTTCCCTTTTTAATTTTATGTTGTGCTTCTGCAACCGAACAAAAATAGTTTTTTAATACTGCCATATGTTCCTCCACTGACGCCGTGGATACGAGTACATCGTCAATGTAACAAATAACCCCATTAATCCCCGCCAATATTCTATCCATAACTGACTGAAAAAAACTAGGGGCATTTGCCAATCCAAAAGGCATTCTTTTAAACCTAAAAAGCCCCTTATGCGTATTAATAGTCAGGAGTGGCTGGGTGCTAGGGTTTACCTCTAATTGAAGGTATGCATTGCTCAGATCTAGTTTAGAAAAATACTTCCCTCTAGCCAATACGGAAAACAGGTCCTGCTGAGTAGGCAGCGGATAGGCCGCAGTATCCAAAAATCTATTTAAAGTCACTTTGAAATCACAGCAAATCCTAAACTCTTTATTCTTCTTGGGCACAACCACCACTGGAGTTGCCCACTTGCTGCTGGGTACTTGATACAAGTAGTCCTTCTCCACCATTCTTTCTAGTACCTCGTTTACCGCCGTTCTAATTGCAAAGGGAACTGGTCGGGCCTTATGAAATATGGGGTTTACATCCTGAATATTCACTGCAAACGTGAATCCCTTTATCGGATCTGTTGTCTCCCCAAACACAACCTGGTGTTCACTCAATAATTCCGCCAACGTGTCCTCCAAAGGCATCTGATTCACAAAATAATTTCCAATGTTCAAAGCATTGATCCATTCTCTCCCCAACAAGGCCTTCCTTTCTCCTCTCACCACGACAGCTCTAAGCTTAGCGATCGTTTCCCGAAAATCGACCTTGACATCTATTTCACCCAGAATCGGTACCACAGTTCCGTCATAGGTCTTAACAATTATTCCCGCTTCTTTTACCTGCACGTCTGGGAGGTATCTCTTGAAATCCTTCTCCGATATTAAAGTCAGACAGCTACCCGTATCGATTTCAAAAGTCATCAAAGTGTCCTCTACTCTCATCTTAATCACATAGGGAGGGTCATTCGTAGCATACTTGACTCTATAATCATACGTCCTCATGAAGACCATTCTTTGAACGGATTCTTCCTCCTCCTGATCCTCGATTTGATTAATCTTTCTCTGGTTCAGAAACCGGCTCACCTGTCTTTCGCTTGTATGTTCCCCACGGCTCCTGCAGATGGTTGCCAAGTGACCTCTTTTCCCGCATCTGAAACAGGTCGCCTCTCTAAATCTGCATAAGTCTTTATGCAACCTCCCGCAATGTATGCACTTTCTCTTTTGCTCTCTGACTTCTGCGCGTATTTTGTCCACGCTATCTGCAGGCTCATTGACATGGAATATTCTGGTATTTTTTCTGCTGCCTCCATCGACAACGCAATTTCAACTACTCTTGCCAACGGCACATCTCCTTCAGACAAGATCCTCCTCTGGATTTTTGCATTTCTCAATCCGCACACCAATTTGTCTCTTAAGGATTCCTTTAAAAATTCACCAAATCCACACGTTGAGGCTAGCCGCTTGATTTCCACCAGATATTCTGAAAACACTTTCCGTTTCCTTTTGTATTCTTCCAAAAAACATGAATCTCTCTACGATTATAGATCGCCTTGGGGAAAAATATTCAACCAGTTTCTCAATCAATTCTTCATATTTATACTCTTTAGGCAACTTTGGGCTACATAAATTTTTCAATGTTTCATACGCCTTCCCGCCAATTAGCGTCAACAAATAGGCTTTTTTCTTTTCTTCACTAGCTTCTTCTAGAATTAGAAACTGCTCCAAACGCTCGATAAATGAGCAAAAATTTTCATTTTTTTCTTCAAATTCTCTAAAATGGTAATGAGCCATCATGAAATAATTTTTTTAATGTAAATTTCCAATAACTTATTACTTCTTTAATATTAAACAAAATTATTCATATTACCCTATACCATCGCTTGGGTACTTACTCTTAAACCTCGTCGCCAATGCAATGTTTCCACAGATAAGACTTGAAAATAGAATATATTTTTTAATGCCAAGAAACAAACAAAGTTAAAACAATTCCATATTAGAAAAATAATCAACAGCTAAAAACACAAACACTATATATATACATATATACACAATTATCATCATCAACTCTGTGACAACAAATAAATAAAAACAAATATTAAATTAATTCGCCAATACATCACAGAAAGTATGGAGAGAGATTTATGGACCAATTATAGTGGTTGGTGGTCGGGTTTAAGGCGCAAAGGTCTTATTCATGGCATTATTGTAGTGGAAAAGAACTTTAATTTTTTTTTTAAAGATGGTATTAACTAGCAGACTGTTTATTGTAC